AAGCAGTTGCATTGGTTTTTATGTCTTTAAACATTATGTAATATTATTTTATGCACTGTCATCATTATTCAAATATTGGGATTTTCATTATGTGAATTTGAACTCTCGTGGTCCTGAAACTGTAATCTTATTGCAGGGGCGGATTGAGGCCGTCTTGTGGGTCTTTCAGATTTTAAAGTTCACATTGATGGGTGTCTGTTTTTTCTGTTTCAAGACCATCAAAAATGTAGGATGGATCAACATAGATAATTTGGATTACTGTCAGAAAATATCTCTGGATCCGCTCCTGTTATTGACGATGTCACCTGTTGTGCATGATTAAAATTCAGTGTTGATTGACAGTGCTATTATAGGCATGATTTATTGCATCAAAATTGACAAAATGAACCATTTTCTGAATTTTTATTTTCTGTTTTTGTCTGTACATTTGACAGCTTTGCTGCCTTGTTTGCATAATAATTTCTATATCATATGGTACATAAATTTGGCAATAAACTGCGTATCATCTATCAGTTATAAGTCTTCTTCAAACGACTGAAAGTTTTCTTGTACAAACTTCAGGCTAAACTAAGGCTGTAAACCTCTAACTGCATAACTCTAAAACTAACTCTTCCAATCCGCTCCTCTACACTACCTGACTATCCTCAACACTATGTCGCTCCTATATATATGCAACAGCAGCTCAAGTGCATGCAGCACGCCCTGTTCCCCATTGATGGAAATTTTGATACCACTCAAATCTCCACAGAGCAGATATCTGGACAGAGTCCAAATCTGCGCCCAGCAGAAATCTGGCTGGGAGCCAAATCTGCGCATAGCAGAAAACCAAATCTGCGCCTCTGACCTATTCAGCAGGTGCTACCGATGCATCACTCCCATGTCAAAAACAATTACAGTTACTGAGATTGAGAACGCAACAATATCAGTAGATATGCCAGTTAATTTTAGTAACATCATGCAAAGTTGTTGCTGACTAGATATTATGTAAATACAAAAGTAAATGAAATGTGCTTCTCTCAGTTTAGATCATTGCTTATGTTCAGGGTTAATGAAAATGCATATATTTTGAAAAAAAAATTTTTTTTTCAAACCAGTGTTTTTTTTCTTTTCACAAAACATTGGAATTGCTTATCCTTTCCATGCAATACCAAATTTCTGTACAGTATAATGATAAATTTGAAAGATTTTTCCATGTGGTACAATTATTCTGCACAGTACAACTATTAATTTTGGAACATTTTTCCACATGGTACAATTATTTGGACAGCATATAAACCATTTTACTGGTAATAATGTGTCCTGACCAACTTTATATTGCAAATAAGGCAAAGAAAGAAAAAAAAACTATTTTGTGTACTGCCAATATTATCCTTATTATCCTCAAACTCGGTGGGATATTCATATCATGTTAATACAGCTAGATTAAAAGTTTGAATGGCAGCTTTATTGGAATATTTTTGTTGTTTTCTTTTTTTTTTAACACTGGCATTTCCATGATGTGACTTTTAACTCCCATCCACCTGAAGCTCTGTACGTTTTGTTTTTCCACATAAGCAATAGTATTGGTGTTTATAGCTTTAAATATTATGTAAAAGTATTTTGTGCACTGTCATCATTTTTCACATATTGGGATTTTCATTATGTGAATTAGAACTTCCGTGGTTCTGAAACTGTAATCTTATGACCATGTTACCTGTTGTGCATGATTAAAATTTGGTGTTGCTATTATAAGCATTATTTATAATTGCAACAAAATTGACAAAATGACCTATTTTCTGCATCTTTATTTTCTGCTTTTTGTCTGTACATTTGACAGCTTTGCTGCCTTGTGAAAATTTGATGTTGACTTTGCTGTTAAGTGTAAGTGTAATGTATTATTATATCAGAATTGATAGTAGCCTATTTTGTGCTTTATTATTTTCTGCTTTTTGTCTGTACATTTTACAGTGTTGCTGCCTTGTTTTAATTTCTGACATACTCTTTTTCAACAGGAAAAGTTGACGAAGTGAAGCATTTACTGAATGAGCCAGATGTACGAGTAGACTGCATGGACACGGTACGTTTGCCCACCAGGCTCTGCACTTTAACCTCACACAACCATTTTCTCTTTTAATAAAAATGTTAATTGAAGAATATTGGTAAAATTTTGTGATCAAGAATAGTTGATTTACAATGGTAAATGTTATTTCTGTATATCATAAAATTCATATTTTCAAGGTTGCTACTCCTGTCACAATCAAAGAATGTTATGCCAGTTAAATTATACTAGTGATTTTACACCAATTTAAATTGTTGCAAAAGATCATTCATTCCATTTTGGTGCTTAATGGTACAAATAAAACATTTTCCTGGATTCATGAAAATTTCTAGCACTGAACTGCTACAGTTGGTCCAGTTTTGTAATTTTGTTTTTAATTATAATTAAATGGCTTGTCATACAATTGAATAGTCTATTTTCTTAAAAAAAAATTTGAATTTAAAGGTTTTGAAATCATAGGGGCCATTCAGAATAGAGGATCTGAGTATCAACTGGTCCAAGGCTCAAATATGGCAGACCCTACATGAAAGGAAAACTGCTTAATCCTGTAATAGTCTCTCCGCCTCTCACCCGCCTTCTCATGCATCTGGTCGAATAGAGCCGAGATTTAATTACTGTGCCCCTGCAGAGACGACACATGGGGAGGCGTGTGAGANATAGAGGATCTGAGTATCAACTGGTCCAAGGCTCAAATATGGCAGACCCTACATGAAAGGAAAACTGCTTAATCCTGTAATAGTCTCTCCGCCTCTCACCCGCCTTCTCATGCATCTGGTCGAATAGAGCCGAGATTTAATTACTGTGCCCCTGGAGGCGTGTGAGAGGTGGAGAGACCATTACAGGATTAAGCAGTCTTCCTTTCATGTACAGTCCGCCATATTTAAGCCTTGGACCAGTTGATATTTGGTTTTTCTATTCTGAATGGCCTCATACATGCATAAATTGTGGGAAATTAGCTCACCTCTTTTTGTAAGAATATAAAGAATGTACATAATTATGTACTGGATTATGAATAAAGAAAAAATGGAAATTGTCCCCAAGTAGATTGCAACATTATCAGTTAAAAATCTATTTACCTTTTATTCTCTAACTACAGCATTCTTATTATTTGTTTGTTTTTAAACAGCATGGCATGACCCCTCTGCAGCATGCAGCCTACAAGGGCAAAAAGGCTGTATGTGAACTCCTGCTGGCACATGGGGCTAATGTCAACTCTCACGAGCATGAGTATGGCTATACTGCTCTCATGTTTGCTGCACTGTCAGGTAAGGAAGGAAAGGTATTTTCAACTATCCATTATCTGTACTGTGGCATCTTAATGTCACTTTTTATGTACAGACCCATTGTGTCTGTATAAATCTAGCCATCTCCTGTGTCTGTCAGCTGTCTTCTTCGTTGTGCACTTCTACAGAAAACTCAATAACTAGAAAACCATTTTACCTTTTGTCTTCAAACTTACAGTACTGATGAATATTCATAAAATACAGGTGGAGTTCAAATCAGCTTGATTGGTCCATTTTTTTTCTGAAATTACAGTAAAGACTTGAAAATATCTTCACTTTAAAATTAATTAGTAATTTAAATTGTGTGAATCCGATGAAAATTTCAAAATTATGTTCTCTGACTCCTGGGTATGTCGAAATTTCCAAAACTCCTACCTTAGAGCTTTTATCCTTGTTCCTCATAAATCATTACTTCCAAAGTCACTTTCTGGTGGTGAATAATAATCTATTTATGAGTGCATTTCCATTTTGTTATATTAACTTAACTGAAAAGTAAGTGGATAATTGTTCTCCGGTAAAGAAACATACTTCCAGATAGAGGAGAGGGTCAAGATAAGTGTAATTGCAATTTTTACATTATAAACTGGACACTGCCTATTTGATACTACACACTTAATAAGATTATAGCCATGCAGTAATCTGCATACATTGTATACTATGTTATTTAGAGAGCCTATAAATGTAAAAACATCAAAATTAATCATTTTTATAATTATCATAAGACATAAATTTGTTTACATTTGCTTGTGGTCTTTGTTTGGTAGGTTGGGATAAAAAAAAAGGGCATCTTTTAATAATTTCCACTGGAGAAAATTGGCACAAGTTGATATTTTGAAATCCCCTTGTCCTTTATTTTTAAAATTGTATTTTTTTTACCCTGTTGATAGTTTAGGGATTGCATTTTACTATTGTCATACATCTCTCCATTGATGTAAACCATTCATTGCTTTAAACTGGTCAATATGTACATTTTCATGGGGATGTCAGCCATTGAATGCCAATATTGAAAAAGCCATTGCTCTTTACCTATTTATATTTGTTATTACCCCTTTCATGTGCCTAATTCAACTTGTGATACATACCGAGGGGTGACATTGGCTCTCTGACCATCTATGTATAATTAAATAAGGCAGTGTTAAAACATGTTTCATGATATTACATGATATTACTGAAGCAAAATATAAAAACACAAAGAAAAAAGTAAAAGTGAATTATTTTTATTTTGTTATCAACAATATATGGCCAATAATAACAGTTTATATTCCTTAATAACTAAGCATTAATTTTGGGCATAATAGTCATTTGGAAATCAATTAGTAATAGCATGAAGAGCACAGGGGGGCCAAATTCTAAGTTCACGGAGGTTTACGGTAATGTGGCATGAATTTAGAATGGCTCTTAAATTTCGAACGATCTTAAAATCGCAGTCTGGAGTTTTTTATGGACCATGAATTTCTACCAGTAATCAATTTTGCGCAATCATGATTTTCGTGGATTTCGTACACCTTAAAATCGCCCATCGGGGAGAGAAACCATAATACACAGTTCAGCTGCCGTGGTGAAGGCTATCTGTGCGCTGTACATACCGATCTGCAGTTGTAGTGGCCTCGCTGCACGGGGGAGAGAGGCCGTAATGCTGAGGCCGGCTTCTGCATAAAGGCTACGTATGCGTCGAAAACACTGACCAGCGCACGGTGAGGTGAGGAAGCACTCGCACGTAAAGCTCAGCCCGACTTTAACGGTAAAAGCAATGAACCTGGGCCCCATAACTCAAAAACATTGCGACCAAGCACAAGCGTCTCGATTCCATAACTCGCCCATACTCGCCCCATATAATACATTGTAGACTCTATGTGATATCACTATTCGCAATGCGTGATGCCTTTGAGTTACGAGGCCCTGGTCGTGGAAGACGCTAATCACCGATGAAGGCTACCTGTACGTGAGCCATAGACACCGATCGTCTGTCATCTCAGCTTCAGCGCACGAAAAGGAGCAACGGTTACACTAAGCCCGGCTTCCACAGTGAAGGTTACCTGGCCGGGGTAGACACTAATCGCCGCCCATCTCTCCCTCTATCCACTCCCGTTCTGAGTACCAGGATCGTTTTCCAAAAACGACACTAGTTTCTGGCTGCCAGAATCGCTTTTGGGTGTGTTCTTCATTGGCCTCACACAGAGCAGTGCACTTAAGGCGTTATTTATTGTTACAAATTTGACCAACACCTCTGTCATGCCCTGCTACTGTCCTGGGTGGAAACACTCAACTCTGACACATACTCACTGGGTGTGGCTGAATGAAACTGAACCAGTTGGTTTCAGCAATACAAACCAAAACAATACACAAGTGACACAAATTTGAGATTGAAATTTGAAATTTGAGAAATTACATTTCTTGTAATCATATTTTTACTCACCACTTTTGATTCGTGCTTTTATATTTTGGTTCAGTATATTATTTGCTCAGTCTTTGATTTAGGTGTCTATGCATTTGACAGCTGTAGCTGATTAAATTTAATGAAAACATCTCCCTGTGATTAATCTGATAACATCTTATTGCAAAATCACTTCAGTCTTTTGTGAAGTAATGCATCAAAAGAAAATACTTTGATCTTAAATGTCAGCGTCTGTTTCATAACTTGCTATGTGTAGTATCATAGAGCAGTTTTGTCTTCACAGGTAACACAGAGGTTGTCAAACTTATGCTGGATGCTGGTGCTAGAACTGACTACATAAATTCTGTTGGGAGAAATGCTTCGCAGATGGCAGCTTTCACAGGTGAAATTGATTTTTACTTTTTTTTTTCTGTATGATAAATTTTAATTCATATTTTCTAATCCTGGCAATGTTTTGTGTCATAGTAACAGTAGTAGTTATGAATGTTTACAAATCTGGCATCATTGTTTTTTGGAATCTGTTTGGTTTGTGTTTGTTACAAATGTTAGCATCTAAGGTTGATATTTATTATATGTAATTGACACAGATTAATAGAGAACATATATGATTTCATGAAATACTCAGACATTTTAGAAAACTTTATGTAGTACACCTTATGCTTAGCTAATTTGCCATATAAATTCAGTAAAAATTTTGCTTGACACTCATACATCTAGTCTGATTGGTTTATATTTCTGAAAGTTACATTTTTTTTTGTGAAATTTTAATTTTCACATAATGGCATTTTCTAGGTGTGACTTTGAACTTCCATGGGATAGAAAACCTTTGCTAGTCACATTTCTGAATGTCCATGATACTTTTATTCTATTATCAAAAATTGATGGTCATTATGCTGTTAGGCATTATGTAATATTGAATCAGAATTGAAGGAAAACCAAGATTCTCAAAATTACTGAAAAGATTCATAGGACTGAAATGCAGCTGGAAAACCAGTCTGATTGTATTCCCTCCTGGAAGCAATGCAGTTCTTAATGAATTTTTTATTTGTCACATATTGGCATTTCCAAAGTGGGACTCCCACGACCATGAAACCAAATGGTAAATTTTTCTAAATACCCTTGTTAAGTATAGTAGAAATTTAAAATTTGGTGATTATGCTGTTAATCATCATGTAATATTGCACCAAATTGACAAAAAAAAAA